CTTTTATAATCATATTAACAGGAAGCGAAGTTCAACAATTTATGGGAGAGTCTAACTAGGCTAAAAAAAAAAAAAATAACGGGTCAACAAGATGGATCAGTGGATAAGGGGGCTTGCTGCCAAGCCTGATGGCTTAAGGTCAGTCCTTGCAACTCTCATGGTTGAAGGAGAGAACCGATTCCCACAAGTTGTCCTCTAACCTCCACACATGCACTGTGGCTTGTGCACCCAAGCACATGCACATGTGCACATGCACATCACACAAATAAAAACTTCTTTAAAAAGAGAGTTCATTCATTTATTCATTAACAAATACTTACCAAATGCCTACTATGCCCCAATTTTAGCTCTTGGGGCCACAGCGGTAAACAACACAGCTTTAATTCCTGCCTTTCACAGTGGTGCTAGTAGTCTGGTAAAGATAATACCTATCTCATGGAATCAATGGGAAAACCAAATGCTACACAATCAAGTATTCTGTGACCTGCAGAAGTGCCACATACACCCAAGAATCTTGAACATGAATAATCATCTTATTTCTGTTTTCTACAGCACCATTTCACACACTTGGCAGATATTAATATTTGCATCTATTTTGTGTAGATGCAAAAGCAGTTCTACACTAACACAGCTGATTAGAGAGAGGCCTTCAACAAGTATACGTGACTTCATTTCATTCTATTTGTTCATTACTATATGTGAAATAATTTAAGAAAATTGGTTATTTTCAATACAATGAATGCATTTTATGAAGTCAGAAAAGACTAGCCACAGAGATTAATTTTAATAGCTATGTATAGGGTCTATATATCTGTAACAGATATTGTGCTGTTGCTGTCCAAATGTAGAAAAACAGAAATACTGTGTTTTATTTCTTCAAGATCAAGTCCACGTTCTTAACAATTCATCCTACATGAATATAACTGGAGAATATAACGTAATAAAAATTCTATTTTCAGATTTACTGGAAAAGGTTTTAATATGTTCTTAGTAGTTTCTAAAATTTCAAAATGAATTTAAGTTTAAAATATTTACACTTGTGAGAAACTAGGAAAACATGAAACTCCGTTTGTGTTTTCCAGTTTTGTTCATAGACACATCACAGGAAATACATACTGAATTAACTGCTTTTTATAATTACTCTGATCACAAATATACAAAAATATATAAAAATCTATGTGACCTACAGAATCTGGCTTTAGTAATCAGTAAGTTCTATTATCGCAAAGATTATGAACTATGAATCTGATCTTAAAGAAACAAAACATCTATGAGATACGTAATTTGAGAGACTTAATGGCAACACTATAATCTCCCAGGAACAGTAAATAAAAATATTTAAAATAACGTTAAGAATTAGCTCTTCTCAATTTATAAATGTTTCATAAATACAATTTCCACGATGATCAGGTGAATGGCATGCATTCAGAATACACCCAAAAAACAGAGACTTTGGTTTATGCTTAAATTTTAATACTTGGAGAAAATATAAGTTAAAATTAGATACAAATACTGCTGACACAAAAACAGAATATATACAAATTCAGACTGACATAGTCAGTATGCAAATGTGGGCATAAGAATACACCAGAACAACCTTTACTGGGTCCTTTTAAGGAAGTAAGATTTTAAATTAGACAGACATGGAAGATTTCAGAAGAAACTATTTCCCTCAAACTATTCCTTTATCCATTAAGAACTATAAACTCGGGCTGGGCATGGTGGCTAACATTTGCAATCGCAGTATTAAGAAGGCTATGGCAGGAGGATTGCCATGAAGTCAGGACCTGCTGGGCTACAGAGTGCCAGGCAGACCACAGCTACATAGTGAGACAGTGAGACCCTGAATCGGAAAAACAGAGAAAACAACAACAACAAAAAAAAGGAATTATAAACTCAGCACTGAGATGAACTTGGAGGTCATCTGATGTATTACAAGTCCATTGCTATGTCATCTACGAATTCTAGCAGTCAGCTTAAGATGCTCACTTATTCAGTGATTTGAATAAGACTCCACAAACACCTGACTTGAAGCCCAATGTAAAAATAACCAGCATTTCATAATCACACAATAACAAGTTATAAAAAGGAAAAAGAAAAAACATTCCAATTTTTTAGAAACCAGGTAGGCCAGCATTTTATGCTTAATATTTGTTTTATTAAACACACACAAAAAAAACCACATGTAATTTTACACTGTTACTAAGAAGAAAGGAAAACTTCATTCCAATTGCAACAATGTAGAAGATGCTTTTAAAACTGTGGAAGAGATTCCTTAGCACTTTAGGAGAATTCCAAAGTATAGCTGAAGGAATTGTCTTTAATCAAATTGTTTTTATTTGTATAAAACTTTTATTTGGGAAAGATAAGCTGCACAGAAATAGAAATTCATCCTACATGAATATAACTGAAGAAATTACCTCCTGCTGAGGAATAGACTTATAAACTGACATCCAATTTTCAAATAAGTAATTCTTGAGTTAATTCTGGAATCTGCGCCAGGGGCCTGTAGGATATTTTTACCTTTGATTACCTGACACAGAAGTTAATGTTTACATAATTGTAAAATCCACCTGGAGTCACAGGCTAGGCTGTCTATAATACCATTTACTTTTTTCTTTTAATTTCCAGAAATTACTGATCTACAAATATTGCATACAGTCTTCTTATAAGGGAATAAACTCTATGAAGGCAAAATTATTCCTCTTTGAAATGAATTAAATATTTCTGACTGCTTAAAAAAAAAAAAAAGTAAGCCAAGGCGTGGTGGAACACACCTTTAATCCCAGCACTCGGGAGGCAGAGGCAGGCGATCTCTGTGAGTTCAACACCAGCCTGGTCTACATAGTGAGTTCCAGGACAGCCGGGGCTACAGGGAGACCCTGTCTCAAAAAGACCAAAAAAAAAAGTAAAGTTTCTGGCACCTCTTGAACACCTAATTTGATCCTCAAAGATGTAAATATCACCGTCTCCAATGTCCAAACAGGAGAAACCAAGCCAAGCATTTGTGGCTACCCTGAGTCCATCTTTGATTTTAATCATACTCCTCGGAAACAGATCACTAACTTCCACACAAGGTTCTCTTGAATACTGGCAGCCAGCTTAAAATGCTGGTTTATTCAATGGTTGTACTTGCATGTCAACTTTTTCTTTAGAGACCGTATCTGAAGCAGCTGGCAATGAACCTCAGTAGAACACTTGCCTAGCATGTGAGAGAATTGATCTTTAATATCACAAAGAAAAAGAAGGAAAAGAAGAAGAGCATAGGATAGAGAACAAGCACTTGAGTTTAAAACAGAGAAGTCCAAATCTCAAATTTTGTTATTTTCTTTCTGTGTTTTTGAAACATGGTCTCCACTACATAGCCAAGGATGACCCTGAGTTTCGGATCCTCCTTGCTTCTATTTTCCAAGTACAGCGATTACAGGTATGCACCATGACACCTGCTTTTCCTAAAACATTACTGATAATACTGTAAAGTTACTTAATACACCCTTAAAGTTTTCCTAAGTACACTAATAATTTAAATTTATTTTTTTAATACTTTATTTTTATTATGTATATGAGTGTTAATACCTGCATGTATGTAAGTGCACCTGTGTCATGCAATGCATGCGGAGGTCAGGAGAGCATTGGATCCCCAGAACTGGAGTTACAGAGAGTTGCTGGCTATCATGTGGGTACTGGGATTTGAACTGAGGTCCTGTGCAAGAGTAGTAAGTGCTCTTAACCACTGAGCCATCTCTCCAGCCTAATTTATAAATAGTCAAAACCCCTTACATAAATTTACAAGTTACTACTGTGGGTAGAAGGAGTTTATGCTGTTATTAAATGATCTGCAGCTTCCTGGAGAGAATCAGCCTACAGAACAGAAAGCATCACACACATGCTATCTGGTGACCACTGGAAAACTGAGCACAATCTGACTTCATTAAAGAATGCTAACATAATTGGGAGAATCTAATTAAAACCGGTACTGTGCTACCAAAAGAAAAATAAGCCATCTGACAGAATTCTACATAGTAGCACTCTAAGGCTCTTTTGTGTGTGTGTGTACATGTGTGTGCATGCTTATATGTGTGTGCATGTGAGTATATGTGTGGACATGTGCTTATACGGATGTGGGTACATGTGGATGCAGGTATATGCACGCGCACTTATAGAGACCAGAAGCTGACACTGGGTGTCTTGCCTGACCACGCTCCACTTTATTTGCTATGGCAGGGTCTCTCACTGAAGCTGGAGCTTGCCAATTTGGCTGGTCTAGCCAACCATCTTGCTGTAGGGATCCTGTCTCTGCCTGCTGAAGGCTGGGACTACAAGGAAGGCACCATGCCCACCCGTATTTTTACGTGTAAATTGGGGAATCCAAACTCCAATCCTCACACTTGCATGGCAAGTACTTTACCCTCTGATCCATCTCCCTAGCCCCTATCATCCTAATTTTAAGATTTTTAAAACATAATTCTGATATTAAAACACACAGTTTTAATGGAAAAATACTTATCTGTACTCATAGGAAATTTCTATTCAGTTAAAATATTTTAATATGCTAAAAGCTAAATCAATTTCCCTATCACAATGCAGAGTCCATCTAAAAATATAAGCTATTATGTGTCTAAATTATTATATATAATACATTAAATTT